AATACTAGTAAATTGTAGACTTGTTGTAAGAAAGTTTCTCTTGTGTTGAAATAAGGAACAAGTGAAGAAGACTTCCACATTGCATTTTCCATATGCATCAACATCAATATCAACGTGTCCCTACTTATCTCCTAATAAGTCCTAAGTCAAAAAAATTCACCGTAACTTTCTTACCGTCAACGAAAATTTATTTCAATTCTCTTTCTTCTCCAATATATTAAATTTCTCCAAAAAAAATTCAACGGTGATGTAGATCCCACTGAAAGCTTCAGAGCTTTCGTTTCCTCATCATCCATTTCATCTTCTCTTATATAATCCTCCTTACAGTCTCCACTTCATTTTCATGCATCTTACTCACTTCATCATCTCTTCTTAACCCCAAAAACAAACACACAATTAAAAAAAAAAAAAACATAAGAATATGGATCTTCTCCTTCTGTTGTTCTCCCTTCTTCTCTCTTATCTCTTCTTCAAGATCTGGAAACTCATAGACTCAAAGCAAGACAAAGATTGCTACATCTTGGACTACCAATGTCATAAACCATCCGACGATCGAATGGTGAGCACTCAGTTCAGCGGAGAAATCATTCGTCGAAACCAGAACCTCGGTTTAAACGAGTACAAGTTCCTTCTCAAAGCCATCGTGAGCTCAGGGATCGGAGAACAAACCTACGCTCCAAGACTCGTCTTTGAAGGCCGAGAAGAGCGTCCTTCGTTACAAGACGGGATCTTGGAGATGGAAGAATTCTACGTTGACAGCATCGGAAAACTCCTGGAGAGACAACAAATCTCACCTAAAGAAATCGACATCCTCGCAGTCAACGTCTCCATGCTCGCTTCAATGCCTTCTTTAGCTTCAAGAATCATAAACCATTACAAGATGAGAGACGACGTCAAGGTCTTCAACTTGACCGGGATGGGATGCAGCGCGAGTCTAATCTCTGTAGACATTGTCAAGAACATTTTCAAGAGCTACACAAACAAGTTAGCTCTCGTTGTTACATCTGAGTCCTTGAGCCCTAATTGGTATAGCGGAAGCAACCGTTCGATGATTCTAGCTAATTGTTTGTTCCGATCCGGTGGTTGTGCTATCCTCTTGACTAACAAACGTGGTTTGAGGAAGAAAGCAATGTTTAAGCTCAAGTGTATGGTACGGACTCACCATGGATCTAGAGACGAGTCTTACAACTGTTGTATCCAAAGCGAGGATGAACAAGGCCGTGTCGGGTTTTACTTGGGGAAGAATCTACCGAAAGCCGCTACTCGTGCTTTCGTAGACAATCTCAAGATTATCACACCCAAGATTCTTCCCGTGACCGAGCTCTTGAGGTTCATGTTGAAGCTTCTCATCAAGAAAATCAAGATTCGCCAAAACCCTAGCAAGGGCTCAACGAATCTCCTACCGGGAACTCCTTTGAAGGCAGGGATCAACTTCAAGACTGGGATCGAACATTTTTGCATCCATACCGGAGGAAAAGCTGTGATTGATGGGATTAAGCATAGCTTGGATTTAACCGAGTATGATATTGAACCGGCGAGGATGACTCTTCACCGGTTTGGGAATACCTCGGCGAGTAGTTTGTGGTATGTGTTGGCTTACATGGAGGCTAAGAAGAGACTGAAGAGAGGAGACAGAGTGTTTATGATAAGCTTTGGAGCTGGTTTTAAGTGTAATAGCTGCGTTTGGGAAGTTGTGAGAGATCTCACCGTTGAAGAATCAAAAGAGAATGTGTGGAATCATTGCATTGATGATTATCCACCTAAATCGATTGTGAATCCTTATTTGGAGAAGTTTGGTTGGATTCAAGATGAAGATATTGAGACTTTCAAGATCCCTGACGCTTTCATGTGAAACGTTTCCGCACAAAAACGCAAACGCAAAACAACACAAAGGTGACACTATTCTCTTTCTTTTTTTTCTATTTTTCTCCATTTTCAGTTGGTTACAATTTTACGTTTACGTGTTTTTTTTTACAAGAATCGGATTGGAAAGGAGATATGAATGTAAAAGAAACTTGGATTAGCTTTAATTTTTTTAAATAATTTTTTAGTGTTTTTTGTTGGTTCTATACTGTTAAATTATTTAGAGGCATGCACTTCCAATACGATAGGGAATTATTACTAATTTTTGTCATCCTATTGGAATGCTGCCCTCTTTAAATTTCTTATATTAAATGTTAGTATATCATTTTAATTATTTTTGTATTTAAGTTTCATTTCCTCTTTATTTTGTACAGTACTATTATTGTTTTGCATTTACTGAAGTTTGTCAAGGTACAAAATTCATGCTACTCTCCTCTTTTTGCGTGATCATATATTTTCAAATGTTTGTTTGAAAACTTTATAAAAACGAAACTTCAATATTCGATCGAGGACATATACATTTTATTGAAGTGTGAAAAGTTGGTAAACAAAGTGTCTGCAGTGGACTTCTGAATTGTGATGTTCAGATTCCGAACATGTCTTAATCTACGTTTCGTTGTTACTAAAATCACGTTTACATGTACGTACAACATAATTTATTTATCTTGCTATTTCTATTCTTATAGTACAATTTTTGGTAAAAAATTAAAATGCGGGAAAATAAATTGAAAAAGAGTTTGTTTGGTGGGCAAACATTCAATGAGCATTTCATTTCACCACCAGATTCGGGGCCCCATTTTTCTCCACAAAAAATGACAAAAATCGCAATTGTTAATGTTAGTATTTGATTAGGTACCCTTAATAAAGTTTACTCGCCTCGCGACAAAAAAAAGCTAAACAAATGCCTCAACTAGGACTGATGTTGTTGAAACGTACTTAAAACATATACTATATCATAAATTTTATATCAATATAATTAAATTATAAATTTAAAAAGAAGTAAATCAATAATATAACGCCACATATACCAAGAAGTCATTTAAATGGTTAAAGACGTTCGTCAATATGAACTGTATCTAATTTTCTCTCTATTTTTTTTCTTTTTATAATACTTTTAATGTTAAAATACAAAATGAATATCTCCCGTCTGAAATGCTCTTATTTGTAATCAGGGAAACATAATATAAATCAACGATTACTAATCATCATTATCTCAGACTCACTGTGGTTTTTTTATGCCACAATCTGCAGAAAAACAACTTTATAAAAATAATAAGGATATTTTTTCAGTTAGAGACAACTCATACTTTATCACGAAAATACTTATGGACCAACCATCGCTATTCTCTGTAACGAAATCAAATTTAATTCATGTTTTTTTAATTATAAAACAAAATCCAGAGAAACCATAAGTTGCATTTAAAACCATTTGTTTAGAAGTAAAACAAGCACATTGTTTTCAACGAGGAATGAAATCCCTTGTTCTTTGGATGAAAACCTGGAAATTAGCAGAAGTTTGACGACAAGAAACAAAACAGTAGAAAATTGAATTAGTAAATTGTTAATAATTTTCTCAGAAGAAATTATATCAAGATATATTTTCTATGGTAGTATTCTGAATAATTTTTTTGCCATAAAATGAGACTCAGTGGGGGGGTTTCTAAATTTTTTTATTTGAACGATTGCAAATTACTTTATTTTATAACACGGATCAATGCTATTATTTTCTAAATTTGAGATCATATTATTTTATATCGATCGTTTTATATTTATTTTAAATGGGTTAATCGGTCTCTCCGGTGGGATAGAGTTAATTTTCTAATGTGGGTACAAGTGTACAACAAATTGGTTGGGAAATGAAATTGCTAAAATGTTTAATTTATAGATTAGAGATAACAATAATAAATGAAAAATAAAAAAAAGGAAAAAAACTAAAAAAAAGTAATAAATAGGGACAGGTAAGTGCCAGTAGAAAGGGAGCGGTCCAAAATTGAAATAAACTACTTTTGCTACTCTTTCTTTTAATTTGCCACTCAAGACAGATGGACATTTATTTCCATTTCTTACACGTGGCACTCTTAGGTGCCGTTGATCCTCTTTAAAGTCTATTGTCAATAAATTGAGATTTGTATCATTGTGACGAGTGACGAGTGACGACACACACCCATGATTCTGTTTCTCTTTGGTTGAATAAATCCAACAGAAGACGAACGTGTTTAAAAACATAAGTTTACTGCCTGATTTCGTAATGTCCAAATCTAATCTATCACTGAAATTATCCACTTTCTTTTTCTAGATGCATACATTTTTAACAAAAGGATTTTTTTTTTTCAGAATTCTTATATCCTTTTGCTAATTTCTCCCTAATAATAGTAGTACAAATATATATTATTGGAGGAAAAATACATGGTCCTATCATCATCTATGGATAAAGGATGGTTTCTCTTCAATTATTTCAGATAAGATAATGTAGTAAACAAATTATATAACTATCAATCAGTATTCATAAATGCTTGAAGAGAATGATGATCAGTATCTGTATTTCATGTAGTCATTTGCAAGTAAAAGAGTTGTTCCATGACTATATGAAATACTGATCATGATAGTTCATATAGTCAAGTAAAAGAGTGCTTCCACGACTATATGAAATCAAACAAATATTTTTTTGCAAGTACAAGAGAGCACTTTCTATAGTTGAGCTTGAGATCATGATGATGTCTATTGTACTTCTTTTACAATTTCATATATTTTCTTATTACTCATTCTGAGTCATGTTCAAGCAATATGTATCACTCTTCTTCGCTTCGATCTTCTTCACCTATCCAAACCTCTCAAGCCTTAAAAGAAAAAAATCATCGTTGTGTTCCTTCCATATGCTCTAGAAGATTGTTTCAAACGAGGATGATGATAAGTTTTGGGTTGTGGGCTCCTCATTCTGCAACTTTGGGTCTGTGAAATTTTCTTGGCCCACTATTAATTAGGCCCATTTCAAATACAGCCCTTGAAACCAAACCCATACAATTGAAAACTGTTTCACTTCCGGCGACGATATACGATTCTCAGCCACCGACCTTCGTGATGAAACAGTGAACTCGGGGTCGGTTCCTTCTCCGGAAAAATTCAGAAAGTATGCCCAGATGTCTGCGTTGGTTCGTATTACTTCAAAGGTTTCGTCTTTGGCGAGATCAGGCCGCATAACAAGCGCACGTCAGGTGTTCGACCAAATGCCTGAACGAGACACCGTCGCGTGGAACACAATGCTGACGAGCTATTCTCATCTGGGTATAACTCAGGAAGCTATATCAATCTTCACCCAGTTAAGATTCTCCGACGCTAAGCCTGATGATTACTCGTTTACAGCGATCTTGAGCACTTGCGCGAGCCTACGCGATGCTAGGCTCGGGAGGCAAATCCAGTCTCTAATTATCCGGTCCGGTTACGGTTCTTCGTTGCCGGTTAACAACTCGGTTATTGACATGTACGGTAAGTGCTTCGATACCCTTAGCGCAAGCAAAGTGTTTCGAGATATGTGCAGTGATGTTAGAAATGAAGTAACTTGGTGCTCGCTTTTGTTTGCCTACATGAATGCTCAGCAGTTTGAAGAAGCTCTCTGTGTTTTCGTCGAAATGCCGAAAAGGGTTGCGTTTGCTTGGAACATAATGATCTCTGGTCATGCCCATTGTGGAAAGATCGAATCTTGTTTGAGGCTATTCAAAGAGATGATGATGATGCAGAGTAGTTGTGAGTTTGGACCTGATTGTTATACGTTTAGCTCTCTTATGAATGCTTGTGCTGATTCATCGGAGCTGGTTTATGGAAAGATGGTACATTGTGTGATGGTGAAGAACGGGTGGGATTCCGCGGCTGAGGCCAAGAACTCGGCTTTGAGTTTCTATGCGAAAGCTGGATGCAGAGATGACGCCATGAGAGAGCTTAACTCTGTTAAAGCGTTGAGTCAGGTGTCGTGGAATTCGATTATCGACGCGTGTATGAAGGTAGGAGAAACAGAGAAAGCTGCTGAGTTGTTTCGTCTCGCTCCTGAGAAGAACATCGTTACTTGGACTAGTATGTTTGCAGGATATGTTAAGAACGGAGATGGAGAGAGAGCATTGAGAATTTTCGTCGAAATGACCAAACTTGGAGTGAGTGCAGATCATTTCGCGTATGGTTCGGTTCTTCACGCGTGTTCAGGTTTAGCCCTTTTAGGAGACGGAGAAATGATCCATGGCTGTGTGATCCATCGTGGGTTTCAAGGCTATGCTTATGTTGGTAACGCCTTGGTTAACTTGTATGCGAAATGCGGAGATATCAAAGGATCGAATCGCGCTTTCGGTGATATAGTTAACAAAGATTTGATATCTTGGAACACTATGCTCTTTGCGTTTGGTGTTCACGGTTTAGCTGATAAAGCTCTGAAGCTCTATGAGAAGATGATAGCATCAGGGACTAAACCGGACAAGGTTACATTCATTGGAATGCTTACAACTTGTAGCCATTCAGGACTTGTAAAGGAAGGTTGTGCGGTTTTCGAATCAATGCTTAGAGATTTTGGAGTGCCATTGGAAGTAGATCATGTAACATGTATGATAGATTTGTTTGGGAGAAGTGGATACTTAGTAGAAGCAAAGGACTTGGCTACAACTTACAATTCACTCATCAGTAATAGTAGTAATAGTTCATGGGAAACTCTTTTGGGTGCTTGTTCTACACAATGGCAAACAGAGTTAGGTAGAGAAGTTGGTGAAGTTCTGAAGGTAGCTGAGCCAAGCGAGGAGATGAGTTTTGTTCTGTTGTCCAACTTGTATTGCTCGAGTGGAAAGTGGAAAGAAGCAGAAGATGTGAGGAGAGAGATGGTTGAGAAAGGGATGAAGAAAACTCCGGGATGTAGCTGGATCCAAGTAGGAAACAAGGTTTCAGCTTTTGTTGTTGGTGATTGTTCACATCCTGACATTGAAGAGCTTTCTGAGACTTTGAATTGCATTCAGTGTGACATGAGAAGAAATTTAGAGACTTTTGGACCTTGAGATAGTGTTGCTGCTTTTTTTTTTTGGGGTATCACTTGGTTTGAGTTTTTTTTATAGTGAATATGTGATAGTAATATTGAAATGATTAAACTGTTTTATGTAATGTATTTGTAGATGGAGTTATACGAATATAAATGAGGTAAATTCGACCGTTGAAGTGTGTTCATGTGATATGAGTTTAGGATTGCATTCATGTATTTTTATTCTTCTTTAAACTTCAAGGTAAAATCATCAAAATATATAATTTAGTAATTTATATCATATTATTAATTGAGAAGTAAATTGGGCTATGGTTGAGAATTATTGTATTATTTGTCTCTTATATAAATTTACTTTAATGAAATCTATTAATTATTTACTTATTCTTAATAAAAAATAATTATTTTATTAAGCTAATTTTAATCAAATCCTGTTAATAAATATTAGATTGTGTTATTTCTTTAGATTAAACCTAATTTTTTAAAAATTAATAAAAATCATAATCTTTTCAAGAATAGAAAACTTTAAATATTTTTGGTCGCAAGGTTAAAATCTTAATTGTCTATTTTTGAAAGTTTTTTCAACCTTATATGTTATTTATAGAAACAATGGCTTTATGTCATTTAACATCTGTCTCTTCAAACGATACGGTTTAAAAAATAGTTTTGTGTTGATCAGCATTGGAATCTTTCGATTCGATATGACAGAAAAGAATGAGAGAATCAAAAGATTTTTGGTTTGATAATTTCTTAGGAATTTGGGATGATGTTAACTTTTTTTTTTTTGTAGAAGATTAATGGGATACATTTAGAGATTTCGTTCCAATATCCCAGTAAGATACAATTTTCATCTGCTATTAATTCATGTTACTGCTTATCATTGATTCTGAGAATGGTTACATCTACAAGATTTCATGCACTCAACGTATATGTAAATATCTGATTGTACTGAGTTTTTATTTATTTTATTTTATTTCAATTATACGATCTACATGTTGTTCTACTGATGTTTGTTCCATGATCATAACGACTTCAGATTCACTATCTTGAAGAGATTGAAGTTTGAGAATCTATGTGATTTAGTTACGATTATTGTTTGTCTTGATCTTAAAACTGAATGCACATGGACTATTCTACAAGATCCTACATATGGAAATTGATGGAATTTCTCTTGACTTTGTTTGATTTCACAGTGGCAAGGGCTTTTGAACTAGGAAAGCTAATCTCATATGGTTGGTAAAAGAGTTCTTTGTTTCTTCTAACTCTGATTCATTTATCCTCAAAACAAGATTTGAAAAGAAAATCGAGGAATTAAGATTTGCGAACCTTCGAGCCAGAAGAAACATACATGTAATCGGTTGTGGAGAGAATGAGAAGAAGTTCATCTAAAATACTGTGGATGTTGGTGCTTGGCTTACAAAGCTTCACAAGGCCAATAAACTGTAAAATTACCGAAAGACATCCAATCAATATTTCCAAATCACAGAATTCCAAAACCGATTTCATACTGGTTATCTGTTCTCCAAGTTTCGGGTTCAAATGGCGGAATAACTACCAGAGGCGTTACGTTGGAGGCTTAAAGCCCGATCACATTTGGACATAAACCTAACAACAAGCAGTTTATGTACATTTCTGTAACACACGCCTCACATCTTTTTAAGACGGCATGCCACCCACTTAGCTTTCTAACTAAGTTACCATTCTTTCAACTCAAAACAAATACTCATTTATAAATAGAACTCAAATAACCAAATTTAAACTCAAAATAACCTCAATATATCCTTAAAGAAAAAAAGCCATTTAAAAAGAAAGCTAAGTATTTTAGGTCTCCAAGATCGAACTAATGAACACTAACACCACCACTATGCGATCACTGTTGCTGCTCCTGCTCACTTGCAAAAGAGGGGAAATAGACAGGGAGGGGCTGAGTAATTTAAATTACACAGGAGAATGCATACATGTGGTCGACCGCACATATCACAACCTAAACATGTCGCTAGTCATAAGCTAAACAAACAAGCATTCAAAACTTTTCAATAATCAACAATCAACAAGCAATCATATTAGGTCTAGGTAGAAACTGCGTCTACCATAACATCAACAAGCAATCATATTAGGTCTAGATAGGAACTGCATCTACGTAACCTCAACAACCCTATAAGTGGAACTGCATCACTTTCAATTATTGTTATAGGTAGGAACTACATCTACTGTAACCCAAAACAATCAGATAAGTGGAACTGCATCACTCTCGGCCCTCATGTCTAGGTAGGAACTGCATCTACCATAACATCAATAATCTGACAAGTGGATCTGCATCACTTTCAACTCTTAATGCAATTGTGCTCTCAACACTCTATATGCAATGCAACCCACAATTCTCATAAGCAATCAAACACCAAACAACAATCAAGAGTATTAATCATGGTCCTAGATCTATGTTCAGAAAAGAGTAAAAGTAAATCAAACACACAACAATCAACTATAAGTTACTTCATAAGCGTAACCTGCGGGAGAAAGAAATCCGTTTATCCTTAACCAGAGACAAGCGAGGAAGATAACACGAAAGGGAATGCATAGATACATCCTCACCTTGTCCTAATCGAAGGAAAGGTTAAGGGATTAGGGTTTAAAGATCTAACAACAAGACACAGAAAACTCAAGAAAAAGGCAGCTCGAAATAAGAACAGCGGCGGCTTCTCTCCTCAGCGGCAGCGGTGGTTGGCGGCTTGGAAGTGGCTACTAGGCTAGGGTTTAAGATTTCTATCTCAGAGTGCTCTGAAATTCTGGATGGAAATTCTAATTTTTTAGTTCCTTTTTTACAGAAGAAAGGGAACTCTAGAGTTAAAGTTTCTAAAACCTAATGAGCTTAAAAATGCTTAACAAGCTTTTGGACTCTAACACTTTAAAAAGAAAAATAATATACCGATTTAACTAAACCAGGGTGTTGCACAATCGATCTTGAGTTCAAGTTCTATCTCCTCTCTGTGCATCGTCACAACCTATGTCTAGGATCTTCCACTCCTCTTTTCAATTTTCGGTTTTTAATGAAATCCCAATCGAAAAATGTTGTTTCTGGTGACTTTTCAAATAATATAAAAATATCAGAAAATATGATATAAATAATATATCTTACTTTATTATAAAAAATTATATATTTCATGAAAATTATATTTTTTAAAAATTTTTTTTTGTTAAAATATATTTTCAAATATATTAATTTTGATTTCAAATAATAATAAAAGTAGATTTATTTCATCTATATCGAACCCCTGCACAAGGTACATAGGAAGCCACCTAGTTAATTAATATTATTATTATATCTAATTTACTATCCCAACACATTGTTCATATGTAATATAATTTGATCAATTTATATTGTGGGTTTTTTGAGTTTGTAACTGAGTTTTTTGCAAGTTGAGGATAATTTTACAAAAAATGTCATTTGCAGGTTTTTTTTATTGAAAACTCTTACAATTATTATATTCGGTGATAATGTTCAATTTTTTTCCTCGCTAACATGTATTTCCAATGAGAGTTATATATAGCTTTTCCGGGCTGCTGTTAAAACTCAATTTTGAAAGAGATCCTGAACTATTTTGATATTTATCATTTTTCATAAATATTACTATTACATTAAATTTTGATTTGATCCTGTTAATCCTATTATGATGCAAACCAGATTGTGGATAATGTTTTGGTTCTAACAATCCGTTGAATAGTAGTGGTCCATCATTTTAAAACCAAATAAATACTTTGCCAATACCTTACACAAACTACACTTTGTTCCAAAATAAAAGAAGAAGAAAAGAACATAAAAACAAGATTCCGAGGTAAAAGATTACGTCACATCCCCAACTCATGGGAACGTGACCTCCATATTGCAACTCAATATTATCATGCACAGTGCACACATATCGTGACCGGTTCTTCTACGACAATGTGTCTTCGTTTAGGCAAAGATAGCTTAAGTCTTTCGAATAAGCTTTGGTTGGCTGTGAATTGTGTTTACTTCTGTTTGCGAGTCTCCTCTTAATAGTTATCTCTTCCGAGTTTATATTAGATCACAAACAATAAATTACATCCGTTATTAGAAGAAAAAAACTCAAGGTTAGTACATGATTCAAGTGGTTTTAGTCTTTTAGACACGTTATCAATTATCAAATCACTTAAATTGCAATATGACATCGAAAGATTGAAAAAAGAGTAGAACTGAGTCCAACCTACAATGGCCATATCACGTTAAGCCAAAGGTACACTTAGAGGCAGCCACAACACCTCTGCAGGATCCATTCGAAGCTGCAAGAAACCAAGAAATTAAAATCCTAATTAAGAAGGAAATTAATTAATTATATTAGCAAGGGAGAGAGAGAGAGAGAGAGAAGCTATACACATGGTGGAGACAAGAACATGGTCTATCTCTAGACAATGTGAGAAAACTGTTGTTATGGTCCAATGAGAAAGCAGAGGAGAGATTGTTTTCAAGAACACAACTCTTGTTGCTTGAACCTTGTGGAGAAAACGGTTGCGACAGAGATGAAACAGAGGAAGAGAAGTCGTATTTTTCATTGTCAACTCCGTAGCTCACAGGAAGAGAAGACGAAGAAGAAGACTTAGACGATGTACCAACTTTCTCGTCTTCCTTCATTTTTCCATTGATCCTCTCTCTCTCTCTCCCCTCTGGGGAAAATTTTGAAACTTAACTGTTAAACCTAACAGTCATCAACTAACTGTTACAGCCCTAACTACTACTTTCTCTGTTTCATAATATTAGTTGTTTTGAAATTGTTTTTTTTTTCAAAATATAAGTTGTTTTGACATTTTTTATACACCTTTTACTTTATTGAATATTGTGTAACCAATCAAATTTTGTAATTTCTTTAATACTTATATTTAATTTATATATTTAATAGTATTTTATAAAGAAAAGTAGCTTTCCTAATTTTTGTATTTTTGGTCAAAACAACTTAAATTGTGAAACAGATAGTGTACATGCTTAATATACAAAGAAGAGGCAAAGACCTCACCAACTGTTCTAATCTCTTTGGAAGAAGCAGAGATCGCACCAACTGTACATACATATATGGGGTGGACTCACGAGAGGAGAATGAAGAGCAAAAAGGTTTTTAGATTATTTCTTATTTCTATAGTAAATTAAGAGCACCTATATTATTACTTTTAGTATAATTTTATTTTTTATTTAATTTTTAGGATAGAAAAAAAAAGTTAAACCATGTATAAGTAAACATGTGTCTGTTGAAGTACACACTTGACATATACCTATCTCTTTCTCCTAATATTTTAAAAGTGCAAAATTTTATACGCAATTAAAATATTAGACTAAAAAATTTACTCAAGAATATTTTTAAAATTTAAGCAAAAAAAATTATGATTTACGTACTTACATATATATATTTGGTACAACCACATAGGCTTTAAGAATATTTTGGAGATATAATTTTTTATCACTAATGTAATTCTTATAATCAATACTTTTGAAAATATTTGCTACAAGAAATAGCATTGTAAACAGAGTGTCAAAATATTTTACCATAAGTTCAATATTACTATAAGGTGTGATATATAGATAATAAATAGCATTATAAACAAAAAAGAAAATGAAGTAGAAAAGTAGAGTGTCAAAAATTATTATAGAAAATGTCTCCTTTAAAATGACAAAAATATCTTCTCTTCTAATGTTTAATTGTTGTCTTTTATTTTTTGCTTCCAATCTAGATTAAATTTTATTCTTTCTCTATTCTTAATTTTTAAAAATATTTTCATTTTTAAAAATGCCAAAACAAATTAGGAGCACTTTCGTCTATCCAATTTATTTATCCTATTTTGCAAATAATCAAAAGATTTGTTCTTTATTCTTACATTTTTTCCGAAAAAAGTATACAACTAATTATTTCTATATAGCATTATCATTTACAAAAACAAATATTGGTACACGTCGAAGCTTTTTATTTGTAGCTTTAATTAGTATAAAATAAAGAGACAATAGTAGAAAATTATAATTCTAAAAAAATACATATTTTCTTATAAGAAAAAATAAGAATGTTGATAATTTATTTTGGTTAACCATATATTTGTATTATAATATATTTTATTATTGTTATTTGGTATAAAAATACAAAAATATAAATAAAGTTTGTAGATGAAATTGATATGTAAAACAATATTTATTCATAAATTATTCGCTAACACACACACAACGAAACAACAACAAGTTCAAATGTTGAGAAAACAAAAATAGCAAAAAGAAATAGAAAAGAAACAAATGAATGTAAATCTCAATACAATCAAAACGATAATTTTAACCACATCTAAAAGTAATGAAAGATATGATTGGGATGATGACATGATGTGATTCATACTAATTGTAAGACTTCTTCTTGATTCTTCCTTCGTACGAATCCTAGTATTGGCCGTTGTTGAACTCGGGCCAATTCATATTGTGTATCGGATTGAACACCTCCAAAGCATTGTTGTTATCGTTAGATCCAAACATTGGTCCATCATTAGGAATAACCATAGTGTTCGAATTATTGATGAATGCGTTCACATCGAACACTCCCTTTTGGTCGATAAGATCGATATTGCCACCACCAAACATGAAATCTTCATGAGGAACAATTGCTTTTAAGTTTTGGGATTGTTGAGTTCCCAATTCCATTCTCAAATTTTCCAGAACACTTATCAGACAAGTGGTTTGAGATATGTCAAGTTGATTCAAAGGAGTTTCCCACCATTGCTGTAATTCATCTCTCTTAATTTTGATCTGATCCAAATAATTCTTCGTTACTTTCTCCATTTCAGACTTTGCCAACTCCTACAGTTAAACTTATCGTGTGTGAGTAACCAATTCATACTTTTAAATGGAAATGGAAATAAGAAAAATTAAACCTAACTTAATAATGAGCTTTCATATTACCTTGTGGAGTGAAATAAGTGGTTTATATGTTTAGACTTTTGAAACAACACGATCTAACTATATTAATGAGCATACTAATCTGTGTTTAATTATGATGCCAATTATATATTTATACATCTAGCATTAACATATATTGGGCTGTTAAATGTTTATTTTATTTGTAATTTATCAATTCACTATAACAATTATTGTGTTGTGTATATATATCTTATATGTATATATTAATTGACAGATAAAAAATGAGAAAATTGAGATTACTTATATATATTTTTATAAATTTAAAAATAAGAAAAACAATTAATGTTTACCTCGGTGAACATGTTATTGAGAGCTTGAATATTTGCGTTTGGACCATCGTTAAAAAAAAGAACAGGATTATAGAAATAAGTTTTGAAATTATCAATTACAGATTTAACATCTGGACTCCCAAAAGAAAACGTTTTTTGACCTGGTGAAAATACAATTACTCCCATTTCTACACCACACAAGGTACAAAGTTCACTAGCTTTTTTAAAAAGACCATGTTTTCTTTTAGAAAAAGTAACTTGAAGGCTGCTCTCATTTTTTATTTTCACCATCTGTACTTTTCGACGACCTCTTCCGATTCTCGCCATTTTCAATTAGTATTTTTTAACAAATAACAAATATCGGATATTGTCAAATGAAAAATATATTTTGTATTTATAGAGAAATGAAACGTTCTGATATTCAACATTTTACTCATTTTAAAGTAAATATAATTTTACTATATAATAATTTATTTATTACCACTTAGAACTTTCAATAGATATCTTTATTTTTTTGCAAGCTTTCAATAGTTATCTTTATTTTTTTGCAAGCTTTCAATAGTTATCCTATATTAAATATATAAGATATGAAAATTATGATATTTTAAATGCGATATTATCGTTTTATCTCTTACAGTGATAATATTATCATTTTATCTCCTACAGTGATCTGTCATATATACATATTATTTCTGAAAACAAAATTCACAAGAAATGATATTCCTAAAAACAAAATTATAAAAATATTTTCTTACAAGTGTTATTTTATTTGTAGTTCTTTTCTTTTTTGACAGCCATATTAATTGTATTTCTTTTTATTTTTCTTGACAGTGATATTAATCATAGTTCTTATTGTTCAATACTTGAAAAGTATATCATTATCTCTATGTATCCCATATATTTGTTTTTATGATAAGCATGATCTAATATATTCTTTTTTCCAATATATTCTTTTATGTCTCAAGTTTAGAGTGAAATTATGAAATGTTTCTTTATCCATTGAAACATATTATGTAACAAAAGCCTAAATTTTGCAAAATCTTACTTCAAAATTCATACATTATAAATTTAATATATCTTAGAAATTTATAATATTTCAATGTTTTTAAATGGTCCTTAAAACATACTTATATATATTATAAGAACTTTTCTTTGTACCAAATTTTTAATATAATTTTTCTACAGCCCATGATTTAATATTTAAATAATCACTAAGACATTTAGATCTGGAAACCTATTTTATGGATTCGTTAAATTGATATATATATATATAAATGATTTGTATATTTTTTTCTTAGTTTATTATAATATCTTAAGTTTCATTTTTGAAAATTTTACAAATATGGTAATTTGAAGAATCTATTTTTATTCGTTTTATGTTTCTACTTTATTATATACTTATTTTAATAAAAATCTATTCAAAAATATGTTTAATTTGAAACTTACGGCCATATTTCTAAAGCATATGCTAAAAAGCAAATATTTTTGAAATTCGATCTATTTACTACATTACACCAATGATATAAGTGTTGAAAAATGTTACTTTTCAAAAAGCTTAAACATGGAGTACTTTGCAAATTTTTTTGAAATATATAGGTTGTTTGCTCGAAATTTCTCAATAAGGATTTATGCATCAATAAGGTACATAATGTACTAAAAAACCAATTACTAGGTCTAGATTTATTCTTGGAGTAGTTATATTATATTCTTGTATAATAAAATGTGTCATAGTTAGGATGTTTACCAGCTGGTTTAGGGACTTTAGGGCTGTGCATACAGTGGCTAAGGTTATAGGATTTGTCTGGATTGTGAAAGAAATTGTTTCCTTGTCCGCCAATATCGAGTAAAATAATCATACAAGACTTGTCTACAATAGAGTTTTTATTTCCATGCTATCTCTCTCTATTATTAGTAATTTGTTATTTGAGTCGAATGATATGTTGAAATAGGATATAGTTGCATAGCTGTTTCCACCATGATATGCAGATTGCAACTCTGGGAGAAAATGTACCAAATTGGACGTATGTTGTTTACTACATTATTTGTACTGTACATTATCTATTTAAATTATCAGAAATTTTTATTGATGGAATAAAAATGTTAAAGGATGAAATATGTAAGTGAATAGGTTTTCTTGGTTTGCGTCTATGTAATAAGTTTTTGCTTATTTTTGTTTATATGTTAATCGGTCCGCACCATATGCGGATTATAAAACTTTTTATATGTTATATATAATTAATATTATATATTAAAAATGTTTTATTTATATATGATTAATTATGTATTAATAATAATATTATATAAATATTTAATAATAAAAATAACAATAAATCAAATAAAAATGTTATAGATTTTAATAGAAATTGAAGATAAAAAAATACTAACCTAGGTTTTTAAAATTCTTCATTAGAATGATAACTAAATAAACTGAAAATATTAATATATATATAATTTATTTAATTTTTATGGTTAGTCTGTACGCATGTACAAGTATAATGTTTTATAGACATAATTAGTTGTGATATTTAATTATTGTTTTAGTGTTTAACAACAATCACACAAATATTTCATATAATTTTGTATCTTTGGAAAACTTATTATGTAAGTGTTACGTTTTTATACATATATAGCTTTAGTGTTTACCAACAATCACACAAACATTTCAAATCATTTTGTGTCTTTTGAAAACTTTTTGTTTTTTCTAGCGTTTAGAGTAACATATAATTGCAAATGTAAATTTATATTAAATAATAATTAAATACTTAAAATATGTTTTGAATATTATCTATATTATATTTATTTTTTCCCATGCACAATATAATATTGTCAACATATATTAAAAATATATATGCACGAGAAGTTTGCATGCGACTTTGATTTTTGCAAAGTTAATTTTTGTATCTACACGTATATTTGTGAAAATAAAATCAAAATATTGTTTTTATGTGTTAAAAGAAAATAACAAAATATATATTTTGTAATGTATATTTTTATAATGTATAATTGATTCTTTTTATAAAAAAAGTAGTTATGCTTATGCATGTAGGTATGAATTATAAATAAGTAAATTTTAATATTTAGGTGTTGGTTAGTTTTTCTGATATTTTCCGCAAACATTATAATTTTGCACGATAGTGTTGTTGGCGTTTAACAACAATCACAAAAACAGTTTTTATCGTTTTGTATTTAATCAAAATTTCTTATTTTTCAGCGTTTTATGATAGAATATGGGTTTTCAATAAAAATTATAATAAAAGTTTATTATAAAATTTATGAAAACGTATTTTATAAAATTCTCCAGTAGCTCTCCGCTCATCTATTCGTTAAATTTTGTATAGCCCGCAATCGCTCGTTTCCACAAACTCTCTGTAACCGCAGCGTTTAAACAAGTCGGATCCTAAACTTATATGTGTATGGTTGAAGATGTAAAATAATATATTTAATATTTAATTGTTATATTAATAAGTAAGAGTTTTTATGTTTCTGACTTTGATATATATGTTAATCTTATAAATAATGGATCATAACATATATAAAAATTGATTCTTGAAATAATGTTTTAAGATGTTGAAAAAAATATATGCATGAAAGAATTAATATGTGTAAGATAATATTTTAAATATTTCAAAATAAAAAAAATAAATCGATCAAATTTTTTTTTCTGTCTTCTTTGACTCATATTTTTTTTATTAACCTTGAATAATATAATAAACATTAAGATCATCTCCAATGTATTTTTCTATTTTTTTCTCTAAGTTATATGTGGATTTTTCTCAAACCTATTTCTATTTTAAAGAGAAAGAAAGATTATAATTTTTTCCTCCAATTATAGAAGAAAAAATATCATTTCTATTTTTCCTCTAAATTAGAAGATTTGAAATAAATGTGGGTTAGAGATGCTTTAAACCAAAGACATAGCCTGGGATTTTTACAGAAAACTAAAGTCGTAAAATTTTATTTTTACTTTTACTTCTATTTCTTATTCATATGTTTATTTATATCAAATAAAAATTATAATAAATATTTGCTATAAAATTAGTGAAATCATATTTTATAAAATTCTCCGGTAACTCTCCGCTCATCTCTTTGTCCAATATTGAGGAATTGGTTTGATAAAAATAATCTTTTTATGATTGGTCTGCACGCATGTGTTCATTAAAAAAATTTGAGCTACACATGTGTTTATTATAAATTTTCTTTCTTAAGATTTTTAAATGACTCCGTAAAACAAAATTTGAGAGTGTCATGGAAAAACAAAAATTTAGAGATTTATTTTTATTTTTTACTTCTACTTCTTATTCATATTTTTTTCTTATTTATAATTTCTTTTTTCTTCCGGTTACATTGCGTTTTATTTCTAATCTCAAATTCTCGATCTATAATGAGACTATATATACTTTTAATTTATTTAAAAAAAGGATAAGAGATAAAATGAGATGGTAATGTAAGCTACACAAATTCCAGAAAACAATAATACAAAAATGTTAAAAATTTATAAATAAATAAGACTATATCATTTACTTTTTAGTTATATAAAAAGAAAAAGTAACGCTTTTTCTCTCAACAACGGGCGATGGCAATGGCGATTTAGGGTTCGGATGGAAGGCAATCATAAGGAGATTCATGGATTCACAGAGTTTATGGGGCGATCTATAGTAGTTCTCAGAATTGAGGATCTCTTTCGGGCCTCGATTGTATGCTGTGGAGAGGGCGGGGAGTATCGCGACATTGAGGGAATCGACGGGAAACAGGGGAGATCCCGGATGTGCTTCCCTCTCGGATGGGATACAGAGGATCTCGGATCTGGTACCGGATTTGGTTTCTCGTATGCTGCAATGACTCTTCTGAAGGAGATATCTCATGGCCCTAGAGGCAGAATTGAGAGATTATCGGGACATCTAACATTCTCGGCGATTGAGGCTTCCTTGGGAGGCATGCGATTGCTACACTCACATCTTCGATTCCCGGTTTTGCCAGACATGAGAGTTTGATTGTGATGGACTACAATGGGTTATGGGTATTACATTCTGATC